CCCCAAAACCCCAAAACCCCAAAACCCCAAAACCCCATCTCAAGATATTTCAGATGAAAATAGTTATAACTTTTTCAAAAATGGAGAAGACAAGTCCTCTGGTGAATTTATTAGATAAAATCAGCAACTGCTCAAATATCCTACCGTACTATGGATATCTTGACCAATGAAGAAATTTGGGTAAGTGAATGAGGCTCCAAAAAGACTTCAAATTTCTTTTACACAAACTAAAACTAAAAGTATCAATCAAGCAAGGTTCCGCCATAGTGGCTGATAGTTCCAAGTAGGGTACAAGTCCCAATCAACTTGGATATGCTATCATCTTGAATCTTCATTAATTTTGTCTTTAATTCAAGAACTCTTTATTCCTTAAAAGCTGGCTTCCACCATCTGACCCTAAAATAATCTAAATTCAGCTAAGAACTTATGCAAAAGCACACGTGAAATGTGGGAAGAAAACATTCCTGGATTTTCTGGGAATCTTCTAAAAAGTAAGCATTGGGCTTCCTTGATGATTTAATTCCTATTCAGATCAAATAAGAAAAATAGTGATCAAGAACTCTTTCAAGAAGATCCATGCAGACATGCTCTTGAGGTAAATTTGGATGATAACCATGCCTAGAAATGATAATTACACTGTTTTCAAACTCGACTTGAACCTTGACACTGTTTCGTCCCTCGATGCCTTTATTTACTTCTACAAAAGCCTGAGGTTTCCAGAATTAGTCAAGATAGAGTAAGACCTTAAATGATGCTTTAGTAAGATCAAAGTCAAACCTGGTGATGACAAAGTAGTTCTGGAGAATATCTACGAAATCCTTCTATGTAAACCTTCCAAATAATGATCTAGACAGTGATATCGAGCTCAGAGAGGAGAACATCCAGACTTATGCCAAGTTCAACAGCAATCAAAAATATCAGTATGCTGACAAACTTCAAACTTTAGAGTTCCTTTCATGCATGAAGCTTACTTCAATCTTGCTCTGAACACGGAAAGAGCATATTCGCTTTCTGTCAGACCTCCTGAGGATATCCTTCTAAGAACGACCTTGTATGCAAAGAAGTTGAATGTTCACATTGATTCCCAGACACCTGATGAACTTGAACTGGAGATTAACGATCAACTCAAAGAATCAGTGAACCACCTTCGAGTTATTTTTAAAGATGAAGTTCCCATTAAAACACCAACCAATACTATTTCTCAGTTAAAGGATCTACTTGGAAATATCACTCTTCTAGAACTTGAATGTAAGCTTAGATCAGATTAGGTTTAGACAACATCTACATCGATGCACATGCTTGCTACCATATTGACTCTGTGAACAAGAAATGGAGCCCTGATATAATTAAGTTCAACTCTATCGGAGGCTCTGTCATCGGGAAAGCAGTCCTGAAGGAGATGAACAAAAAGTAAGGTTCAAAATTTAACCTGATCATCCATTAATCATTGTAAAGCACCCCTTGTAAACGCTAATTTAGTGAATTTGTTTAGAAATATAACTGATGAAATCTCCTATAGAGTTCCAACAATTTTCTATGCCACTGAAGCAAACAAGAAGCTCAGTGCCATCCAAGCAGAGACGATCAGCTTCTCTTGGACTGATATAGATGATTTTAAGATAATCCCACAGCATGAGTTCACAGTGTTCTATTCCCTGAATAGCATAAATTTCAAAAATATCTTAAAAGAAGTAATTCCTGACGTTATTCTAATATAGACCCAAGACAATGAATGGTTCACAGAAGTTGAGAAATACAGGAAGCAAGGAAAAGTGTCAATAGAGCATGAATGATGCTTCTTTATAATCCCTAATGAATTCATCTCTGAATTCAACATGCAGGGGGTAACCCCTCCTCTTTGATGTCAGGAAGAATTCAAAGTAAATATTAAGACTATCAAACATCTTGAATATCTCCTTTATGACGATGAAATTAATACTGAAATCTGGAATAGCTCCTGCTACTTCAATGTTAGCCTCTCAGGAGAACTCAGAAAACACTTTACGAATGAGTACTGTGAAGAATATTTCACATCAATTCAGAAAATCAACAAACTCTTTACAAAGCTATTCGAGAGGAAACTCACAAGTTTAGAGATAGCTTTTCCTCTTGACTCAGAAAGCATTGAATACATTGCCTTAATTTTACCTACAGACAGCCTAGGCTGCAGGTATTTGTCTCACTTCTACGCAAAAATCGAAAAGCCTGACTACCTAAAATCCCTGCTAGACTCAATCAGGGACTCAAGCATTGAGACAGGGGCTTTACAGTGCCAATTCAAGCTACAAGACATGGTCCCACCTCTTGACTCCTCAGAATGGTACAATACCTTCATTACCGAAAAGCCCTTCTTCAAAATAGAATTCTTCCCATTCTTTGGTGACATTGTAGAATTCTCGAACAACATAAAAGTGATTGCTTAATCAAACAGCGAATTCATTAATAATTTGTTTGTAAATGAATTTAAAGAGGTTTTTCCTTAAAATATGAGATGTGGGACGATAAGCAAAGACTGGAGAGCTACTCTATTCTATCATACCTCTTATGATAACCTCTCAAGGAAGTTCCTAGTACACAGGATATTTCCCTTCCTATTTCCATCATCTCGGCCTTCCAATCTCCATAAAAATCTGATTTCAACTAATTTTTCAAAAATCGGGGTTTTGGGGTTTTGGGGTTTTGGGGTTTTGGGG